AGTACGTGGCAATTTTTGGCTGTGTACCACTGACGTGTAGAATCATTATTTCTATTACTCGAGCGTGTTTAGTGCTGTATTTGAGTAGTTTTGATGAAGGGGTGCTCGGGGTGATGTCAAAATTTTGGAAAATAGTATTCTAGAATGTTTAAAAAATAGAAAATTCTAATCTAATTAGCATGTTTAGACCAGAATTTCTAGAATAAATGAGAAATCTAGACTGTCTAAGTGTGCATTCAGTGGATTATTGTGTTTTAGCATTTTAAGATTAGAAACATACTTAATCTTATTTAAATAAATCCAAGAAGATATCTTATATTAAAATCAGATATTAAAGTTCGTTTCAAGATTATTAAGAGTGGTTTAATATATAATAATGTGATAATAATCAAGCACGAACAGTTATTAAACTCGAAAAATCTTCAAATTAATTTGGCAAGTTCTACTGTGCTTATTTAGTTAAATAATACAAATTACACACCGTAACCTTTTAGAAACGTTAAAGCGAAGTATCCATTGTTTAAAAGTGATAAAAAATGTATTTTTCTACATTCTGGAAGAGTATAATGATCAAGAATTTCGATCTGACGGGATTAATATCTTAATATCGACTTTGAAAACATACACACTTTAAAAGAGATGATGGGCTACAACAATACATAGGCCTATTCTAGAATATTTAAAAGACTCTAAAAGATTCTTCCATATCTGATTTATTAGAAGAATTTATTAGTGAAGCCGTAGATACTAGAAGAGATATTCTTAATGTTCCTTGTATGATTTAAGTGTATATAAATGTTAATAAAGGGCACAACCCTGGAAACCGTGTCAGAATAAGTGTTAATTGCGAATTTCTTTTACCGTATAATTGAAGAGCGAATAGAAGTGGAGCTATTTTACTGGAGATAAGAGGTCTAAAACGTGAAAGTAGATGATGTCTTGTATCACTCCGGAAAGATTTAGGTGTGGTTAGGGGATAATTGAAAATAACACTGGTACATTACGTCATCACTCACTCAAGATAAAAATAAATGAAATCTCTTCCCATCAGAATTTCAAATGATAAGATTAATTGCATAATCAATTTTTTTCTTTCTTAGATTTTCGTGCAGATAGAAAATGTAAACTTAATTCTGACGTCAACTTTTTCGGAATTATCTTTTATATTTTATTATTTTCTACACACATATACCGGTATATATAGTGCAGGAACATGTGATAGTAATTGAATTTCGTTTGTGTCGACGTTTTTAACATATAAATGAAATTCGTTTTATTTAACATTGTTTTGGTGGGACGTTGATGGTGGTCTTACGTCTGAAGAGCCAAAAGAACCGTTTAGTTTCCTAGTTTTTTTTTGGCTTTCAAGCTTGATAACTCGATGTCATTAATGAATAATGCCATCACCATCGCTCGTATTGTTAATTTGAAAGCTATTTTCTTGAGATTTTCTGCAGAGATGGCAACTTAAAGACGTCTTAAATATTAAATTTACACAAGTAGTATTATATTAATGAGGTACAAAACGGAAATTTTAAAATTGCAAAATTGCGGTGTTAAGTTTTCCTCTCGTCCCACGCTGACCAAATTTGTTTAAAAATGTTTCAAGGCACGAATCTTACCGCCTCTTTTTTTTTTTTATCCTATTTATCTGGAGGGTGTTCTAGACAAAAGCCGAAGGAATATGGGGGCGATAAATAGGAGAGAAAGGGTTAGGGCTAAGAGGAAGATCGTCCTGACCACCCTGAGTGGGAGGGACGACCCATAATAAAACCCACGCTGCCTGGGGGCCTTTAGAAAAAAAAATGAACGAATGGACTAACTTTGACTTGAAAATCAAAGATTTTCGTCAGATATTTCTATAGCTTTTCTAAACTCAAGGAAAATCCTGACAAAATGCATAAATGTTTACAATAGGATCTTATGTTAATCACAGCAGTAATGCCATCTGGTGTGTCAAGCCGTAAACTTTGTAAAACATTTTTTTACCTGTAGAAAAAAAATGATACAGGTAAGTGATTAATGGTATTATTATACTATCGATCCTTTAATTTCATCTATTTTATTTAAAAATTTCTTCTAATATAATAAATTTTCTTTTTTTATCTATGGTAAATGATAATTAATTCTAAAATTTCTCTTTTCCTACTATTTCGAGGTTATTCTCCTATACACGATTTAGTATGCATCAATATTTAGAGCCCTATATTATTCAGGAAATAACTAAAAATAGTCTCAGGAAGTATTTTGCATCAACAGACAGCTGAAACTGATACCAACAATTTCCTGAGAATTTAGTGTAATCTTCGAGTTTTGGGGAGGAAATTTTATGAAAATCTGCTATTTGATTTCTTAAATAACTTAAACACATGTTCAGGAGCGTAACAAGTGCCGATATTAAGAGAGGATTATTGAATTAAAACGCGTAAACCTACAATCATTCCTGTACAGTATCATTGTGGATGCAACACTGAGGATGAAGAATAAAATCTAAAATATTGATATGTATGTGTTTAAATAAGTTTGTCCATTCAAAATTCACGTACTTACTTGATATTTTTCTTAATTTATTTATTTATAAGGGGGTCGGGGCCTCCCTGCTTACGCTACTCCACGTGTTCACTTCATCTCGGATTTAATTCCGAATTAATTACATTAATTCTGGACTCTCAGGAAAGAAAATTCTGTCACATTTCTGTAATTCAATTACCTTCTTTTATATCCAATCTATAGTCCTGTACTATTTAATACTTATTCTGCACTAGTCAATGCATCTATGTGTTGCTATCTGCCAGCAGAATTCCTATTCCTAATCTTATCAACTTTGTCCATAAAACTCAGAAAGTGATATTCTCATTAAATATCTTTGTGTTCGTGATGCGTATGTTAATGCACGAAGCTGGTTTTTATAGGTTAATAAACTTCAACAAATGGGGCATACGTAAAAATATTCTTTAAAAAAAATTTTAATTTATTATAAAATTTTAAAAATGAACAAATATCAAAACCGCCAATTAAAATATACAAACTGAAGTTCTCTTTCTTCACCGATTTTCTTTTAAATATAATTAAAATGACTTAAATCTGGCCGAATTTAATCCAGAAGACACATAATATATCAAAAAGCATTAAAATGAAATTAAAAAATTATAAACAATACATTTTATCCTATCTGTTCCACCTACGAAAAAAAAGGGATGATATGAGTCATCTGGGCGGCCATCTCCATAGCCCACCTGCTTTCCCTGAAGCTGACAGGGTTCTAGACAACAGATAGGGTATCTGCATGACACATGCCACGTGCTTTCTGTCACGATCTTCGCCTCTGCACACCTAATCTTCAATGGACTGATCCGATGCTTTATCATTTAACAGATAATTTACTCTATCCCATCTTACAGGATACGGTGCAATACGTTTGGCCATTGAACCCCCCAGAATTTAAACCCTGTAATTAAATTGGGTATCATCTAATAAATTTCAAAAAAAAAAAATGAAAGAAAATTTAATGATGCTTCCTTCTTTTTTAGAAAATAAAATAACGAAGTAAAAATGAATAAAAATTTCTTGATGGCATGGCTACAATCTATCATATCTTAGTAAAAATCGACTAGGCTAACATTGTTCTACCTTTAGACTGCCAAGACGTGCATAATTCAACAGTCGAAGCAGTTGGAATTCGATGGCATTTACTGAATGGATGGTACTTTGGTAAATGGGTTCCCTACACAAAGTAATAGACCATCTGTGGAACCCACTCGACAATATTGGTCTTTTGGGGAATCGAGTAAAGCTATTAGGATTATTGGAACTTATGAGAAATGTCGTTCAAAGAATCCTTTGATCCGAACGTCTGTCTAAAACGCATTTTATCTTAATGAATAAATTACCGTTTCGGTTACGAAAAGATCGTTATTGATTATATTATTATTTATTTTTTTTCAAATTAGTAATAATTTTTTTTTCGGGGAGGAACCACTCCGTCAATTAAGTAGACCTTACACGACGTTTCTGTATTAATATCTAAATTGGGACACGCAGAGCGATGTCAGAAATAATCGTGATAGATATACACTATATTATTAAGCTTCCTTCCTATCTTAATACACGGATAGTATTATTATCCAGCTATTTTTTATTTTAATTCGTAATAAAAATGGCTCGTTATCTTCCTACATTATCCAAGAGGTAAGGCTATAGATAAACAAATTTTCGTCTAAGAAAAATCGTTTTATTCTCAAATACTCATTAAATATTCATAAACGACGTGCTTTCTCAGAAGATTGATATAATGAATCTGTTCTTATTAAATTTAAATATGGTTTGTAACGCGAATTATCCACCCAGTCTGCCTGTGACATCATGCTTTTGGCCTATCTACTGGCGCCTACTCTGCAAACATTTAATCTTTACCTGCAGACAAATGATTATTGTAAACCAAAAATGACTCATAATAGACCCTACGATAAATAAGTTTAGTATAGTTTATACAAGCCATCCAATTAAGTTAATATAAATCGCCAGAGATTAATATCTTTCTCTTTGTTTGCTTTGTTTTGTCATCTGTTTCTGTATTGTATCTACTAAAAACGAATAAATAATATAAGAAATCTGTTTAATTAATTAGGTTTTTCTATAAATTATATATTTATTTCATTTATTTTATGTATTTCTGTAATAGTTAGTCCACATAAAGGAAATTTACGACTATTTTGAAAAGGGATGCGAGAGGATGAACCACAACTATGATGAAATATTTCCGATATTTATGATTATATGAATCGAATCGAACATTTTAAAATAATAAATATTGTTATATTGATTATTAATCACGAATTTAACCGAAATTATTATTAATTTTTGACAATAGATGGAGCCACAACTCAGTTATATTAAAAATATTTATATGTATACGTTTTGTATTTTTATACACTTTATACTCTACAGTTAATTAAATTTAAGCAAAGTGTCTTTAATAAATAATACATTAAATAATTTACATAATAAAACCAACACAATATTATGCCAAACACCTGCACAATATATCCTCAATTGTTGCCATGGTGTTAACAATGTCATACTTTCAGTTGATAAATCAACAAATGCACCAGGAAATATTCCAAAAATAAACAAACCAGAACCATGAATCTTGACATTTTCTCTAGAGAGAAAAACAAGCAGTTTATATTCCTAAATATTAAAAAACAAAACTACAATCAAATTCTAACTAACTATATTAAACTTATTTTGTATTATTACATATTTATATGTTCATAAATTGTAATATTTTGTTTATCTAAACCAGTGATTCTCAACCACTATGCTGAGAGATTTTTGAAATGTGCTGCACTGCAAATACGCATGTATAAGCAATGTCAGACAAGTAGTTCAATTGGTTCTACTTTCCTAGGATGTGATTGGAATTGTAATCAGCCAATAGTTATCAAGGCATTTAGAAAATGTTACCTACATAACCAACTGCATTTAAAAATCAGTTATTATGTCACTAGTTGCCCTGCGGTACTTACCAAAGTAATCGTGTGTGCTGCCAAATTTTTAAATTATTAAAAGTGTACTGTGAAGAAAGGTTTAGAATCACTGATCTAAACATTCATAAAGAAATTTTTATCTTATCAACTATAAATAGAAATAAAGTTTTTATGAAAAGGTTTAAATAGAAAATACCATAATTTTTTGAGTGTAAGCTGCAGGAGGTAAAAATAGATCACTGTTGTAATCTAATCAACAGATAAGCCGAACTTTTATACTAACTACACCAACTTTTAATTGCTGACAAATACTCAATGTTAAAAACAAAAATAATTATTAAAACGATAGTCGCAATTATTATTCTAAAATATTAATCACAACAAATGAAGTTCATTGACAATTTCAATTTCAAAGTTCATTATCATTGTGCCATTAAATTAACTAACTTGTGTAAATTTTGATTTTTTCCTGATATCAGTAATAATGAAGATCAATAATGATATTAGCCAATATTCATTTTTCCAACTTTGATATCGGAAAATACTGTCAATAATTGATAGTCAATTATTTAATAACGTTGAACACTAGTTCAGATGATGCAGCCATCTGCAAAGTGATTCATAAATGATGAGTCACAGTTTTGTAAGTCAAAATCTCTCCCTTTTCCAATGTAAACCAGCATATAAGCTGTGGTTTATACTACAAAAATTATGTTAGATTAAAATTTCTAAATGCATGTTAATAATTATATACAGTAAATTATGATTTTAAGATTTTATAATATACAGTACATATATAGAATTAAATCTTACCTTGCAGCAGCAAGTGCATGTCCTAATTCATGAAAAATACTACACATTAATAATGTAACAAAATAATATATTACATGAGATAATGGTAAATTCACTCCTGGAAACTAAAACAATAAATAAAATATCAACTTTTTCAATAAATAAAATATCAAATAACTTTAATTAATAAATTATAATGAAATAGTATAATTTTAACTTACTACTGGTTGCAAAATTTGTTCTGTTTTAATATCATAGCTTAAGGAGTCATACATATTCTTAGCAGTATATGCTAATAGAAATAATGATGGTATGATTAAAATACTTGTAACAAGAGATCCAAAGCTGAACCACTTCCGAAGCCATCGAGCTTTATAATTACTCAACTTTTTAAATAATCTGTTCCAACGACTTGTATACCATTGTAATTGGCATGGTTTGAACGTGAGATTACTTTTTTCTAATAGTACCAAATATGGATGTAACATGCATGACTGAAGAATACATAGAAAATTAGAGTAATTATTAGTAAAAAAAAATAAATCAATCTAACAAACTAAAACTATGACATATATTTTAAGCTCTTTTATAATTCTACTATGTCATAAATTTAAATTTCAAAATATTGATAGAGTTGATAATATGTTATTATATTTTTCAATGACTTAAACATTCTTTTCTAAAAATTTTTAGTTTGATTATAAATCATATTAGAGAATTAATTTCTCAGCAACAATAAATTTAAAGCAGTAAAAATTTTATACATTCTAATCATAATAAATTTCTCAAAATTCAAACATAACTCCAATTTTTCCAGTGCCTTTTTGCCAAATATCCATTTAGATGTTTTTCTGGCCACTCAGCTGATAAACTTCATGAAAAAGTATATACTTTTTCATGAAGTTTATCAGCTGAGTGGCCAGAAAAACATCTAAATGGATATTTGGCAAAAAGGCACTGGAAAAATTGGAGTTATGTTTGAATTTTGAGAAATTTATTATGATTAGAATGTATAAAATTTTTACTGCTTTAAATTTATTGTTGCTGAGAAATTAATTCTCTAATATGATTTATAATCAAACTAAAAATTTTTAGAAAAGAATGTTTAAGTCATTGAAAAATATAATAACATATTATCAACTCTATCAATATTTTGAAATTTAAATTTATGACATAGTAGAATTATAAAAGAGCTTAAAATATATGTCATAGTTTTAGTTTGTTAGATTGATTTATTTTTTTTTACTAATAATTACTCTAATTTTCTATGTATTCTTCAGTCATGCATGTTACATCCATATTTGGTACTATTAGAAAAAAGTAATCTCACGTTCAAACCATGCCAATTACAATGGTATACAAGTCGTTGGAACAGATTATTTAAAAAGTTGAGTAATTATAAAGCTCGATGGCTTCGGAAGTGGTTCAGCTTTGGATCTCTTGTTACAAGTATTTTAATCATACCATCATTATTTCTATTAGCATATACTGCTAAGAATATGTATGACTCCTTAAGCTATGATATTAAAACAGAACAAATTTTGCAACCAGTAGTAAGTTAAAATTATACTATTTCATTATAATTTATTAATTAAAGTTATTTGATATTTTATTTATTGAAAAAGTTGATATTTTATTTATTGTTTTAGTTTCCAGGAGTGAATTTACCATTATCTCATGTAATATATTATTTTGTTACATTATTAATGTGTAGTATTTTTCATGAATTAGGACATGCACTTGCTGCTGCAAGGTAAGATTTAATTCTATATATGTACTGTATATTATAAAATCTTAAAATCATAATTTACTGTATATAATTATTAACATGCATTTAGAAATTTTAATCTAACATAATTTTTGTAGTATAAACCACAGCTTATATGCTGGTTTACATTGGAAAAGGGAGAGATTTTGACTTACAAAACTGTGACTCATCATTTATGAATCACTTTGCAGATGGCTGCATCATCTGAACTAGTGTTCAACATTATTAAATAATTGACTATCAATTATTGACAGTATTTTCCGATATCAAAGTTGGAAAAATGAATATTGGCTAATATCATTATTGATCTTCATTATTACTGATATCAGGAAAAAATCAAAATTTACACAAGTTAGTTAATTTAATGGCACAATGATAATGAACTTTGAAATTGAAATTGTCAATGAACTTCATTTGTTGTGATTAATATTTTAGAATAATAATTGCGACTATCGTTTTAATAATTATTTTTGTTTTTAACATTGAGTATTTGTCAGCAATTAAAAGTTGGTGTAGTTAGTATAAAAGTTCGGCTTATCTGTTGATTAGATTACAACAGTGATCTATTTTTACCTCCTGCAGCTTACACTCAAAAAATTATGGTATTTTCTATTTAAACCTTTTCATAAAAACTTTATTTCTATTTATAGTTGATAAGATAAAAATTTCTTTATGAATGTTTAGATCAGTGATTCTAAACCTTTCTTCACAGTACACTTTTAATAATTTAAAAATTTGGCAGCACACACGATTACTTTGGTAAGTACCGCAGGGCAACTAGTGACATAATAACTGATTTTTAAATGCAGTTGGTTATGTAGGTAACATTTTCTAAATGCCTTGATAACTATTGGCTGATTACAATTCCAATCACATCCTAGGAAAGTAGAACCAATTGAACTACTTGTCTGACATTGTATTTGCATGCGTATTTGCAGTGCAGCACATTTCAAAAATCTCTCAGCATAGTGGTTGAGAATCACTGGTTTAGATAAACAAAATATTACAATTTATGAACATATAAATATGTAATAATACAAAATAAGTTTAATATAGTTAGTTAGAATTTGATTGTAGTTTTGTTTTTTAATATTTAGGAATATAAACTGCTTGTTTTTCTCTCTAGAGAAAATGTCAAGATTCATGGTTCTGGTTTGTTTATTTTTGGAATATTTCCTGGTGCATTTGTTGATTTATCAACTGAAAGTATGACATTGTTAACACCATGGCAACAATTGAGGATATATTGTGCAGGTGTTTGGCATAATATTGTGTTGGTTTTATGTGCATCATTTTTATTATATGTTAATGCATTTCTGCTGTTTCCATTTTACCAATATGGTTCCGGAGTAACTGTCACATATATTGCTGAGGTATTTATTGATTATGATTAGAAGTTACTATTATATTTAATTTATTTACTAATGTAATATAATATTTTAAAGAATAAATATTTTTGAATTATTAAAATTAATTTTGTCCGTATTTGAATATCAAGAATTCAGGAGTAGATGGCCCTGCAGGGTTGGAGACTGGTGATGTTATTACAGCCATTGTATCTTGTTCCATTCAAACAGAAGAACATTGGAAAAAATGCTTACAGGATAAAATAAATCAACCATCTCAAGGTTATTGTGTACCAATTACATTTATCATGCAAGAAGATGTAGCAATAAAAGGTAATAAGCAATTTATTAAAAATAGAGTAAAATAAAAAAAATAACTATTTCATAATTTATAACAATTTATCACATTAAAATAAACTTTTAAATAAATTTAAACTTAATAATAATTTTAGGAAAACTTAAATTATTGCTTTATAATAATTTTAATTTAATTTTATATATACCATATATCTGCGCAGATAAGACAATAGTTGAATCATTAAAAAAAAACCCAAAATCCAGGGTCATCTTATAGAGCAGATACAAAAAAAAATTAGATTTAAATTTATATAAATTAAAACCATTATAAAATAAAACAAATCGCTCACCAATGTATTTAAATAGTCCATATGACATTTTTGTGAATAGTCAAGGTCATTACCCAAATGCCCGAATCAGTGTGAATGTTTGCAATAATCACAAGGTAGCCAGGTATACCTCGCCTTACGTCAGTAATTGGTTCCAGGAGAGGTCAAAAAACGACGTGAGTCGAATTTACTTGTCACTAGGCTAAACCACAAGTAACCGTTCCCAGTTCTGTATTTTATTTATAAATGCAATTTAAATAATATACGGTTAATAAGAATCTATTTTAGGCTTACAAACAAATAAATTTTAGTTTTTAATATAGTATAGAAAAAAGTAATCGAAATTTACAAATTCATGTACGTACAGTACATACTTGTAAATATACATGTTTATAATTTGGCGATGCTTACGGTACATAGTGGACTCTGTATTTGTGAATGTGGTTTGCTCTAAGACATTATAAAATAAGATGATTTTGTAAAGTTAAATAAAAAATACAGTTATTAAAATTATCTTGTGACAGTAGAAAATAAACTAATTTATATTAAATTTACCAATATTGAGTGGTGCTGACAATGATGCCAAATTAGATATTGGAGCTACTGTGGAAAACACCAATATTGAGCACTTAAAGACCACTAAATAAGACGACAACACAGAAACACAGATGTTTTCATGTTTCATTCTCTAGGATTTATGATGATTATGTTAACATTTACTGTAAATGTACATATTTTAATATGATTTTGTGTGTTTTAATGCTTTTCTAGTGATATTACGACTTCAATATTTGTGGCGGATGGACGTAAAGTCAAATAAAATGACTTAAACTTGAATTTTATTTTTCCATATATTTTTTGACAAATGACGGATAATCAAGAACGATGTAACTCGAGGTATACCTGTACTGTTAGATGCAAGAAAATAAAATTGGTTCATTCGAAAAATTACAAATATGACATAATTCTGTATATGCTTTGCAGTATTATTATCCAGATGATCGCTGATCTAAACTAAATTCATAGGCTGATGATAGTTTTAGGGTCATCTTATAGGACAAATATATCATAAAACTATAAAACTTTGACAAAAATTTATACCTCATCTTATCTGATGGTTGTCCTATCTGCATAGATATATGGTATATAATCATCTCAAATGTTTGTATTTATTTCATAAAATATTTTCTAAAGTCAGATCATTAAAAAACAAGATAAATTCTTATTTTTTAGGGGGAAAATTAACTATACAATCAAATCCCATTTACAGTGGTACCTCATGATACAAACACCCCAGCATATGAAATTTTCAGGATACGACATGAAAATCAAACATATTTTTGCTCCACGATACGAACAAAAACTCACCATACGACGTTACATTAGTTCGCAGCGCCAATTTTTATTCACTTCAGTTCATCTGTCTCAGTCTGCGTGTTTGCTTCATCGTGGAAGGATCTCGCTCGATAAAGGAAATCTTGAGATATTATCAGAAAGTGACTGATTTTATTGAAAAGAAACATCCCGAAAAACATTGCACTGGCCGAAAAGGTTCATGCTGACTTAAGCATATGTCATTACTCCGAGCAGCAATATGATGCTCGAAGTAATGACATTTGCTTAAGTCATTTTAGAAACATTTTAAAAAGTAGGCAAANACGCCCTACACCTGTAGCTTCAGTCACAGGTACGCCCAGAAAGCGATCTTGACCTTTTTTCATAGCTGCAAAAATAGAAAATATACCTACATACAAATATGCATATTACAGTATATATATCCCAAATAAATTTTATCCCCCATCCAATTTAGTTTTAAAAAAAATTAATAACAATAAAGAATGTTAATTTTAGCTACGTTCTGACGCCCCTACTTAGAAATTAATTATAAAAATTCGTAACACGTGATTAAATTTGAATTAATTAACATAAAACGGTAATCTTGACCTTTTTAAATCAAATATTTAAAATTTTAACCAATTACAAATCAAATATTTCTCTTCTTAAGACCGCCTTCTGCGCGTGACGATCGTGCTGAATATCACCTTCTACACCAATCATGCGTATCGAAGAAACCACGTGTACTTTCACTTAACCAATCGTCAAGTCTATATCTCCGGAGGAGGTACTTTTAGTTTAATTCTAAACATCTGCGTATATTTTTTCTAAAAATAAAATATAAATAAATATTAAAACATCCGAACGATTTATCGCAGTTTGAATAACATCAACGACTCGAAATATCGTATAAATGATATTAAAAAAAAAATGAAAATAAAAAAGAAAATTGACGGGAAAACACAGGTCGATGATATCATGTGACCGGAAACGAAGGGTCATCCAACTCGGGAAGCCGGTGATTACTTCCGGTGAGCAACGGACGCGATGTTACGCGTCTATCCTTTCTGCATACAGAAGAATTGTCGAGAGTTACGATTGGTTGGTTACGTTATTACATTCTCATCGAGATAATTCTTAATACTTTCGGTCTTGAAACTCCAAATTTCCCTATTGGGCTAGATCCTATAAAGTGGCTTTCTCCTTATATCTAGTCAGCCTAGCAGGTAAGAGGTGCAGACCTCTAAGAAAACTGATGACTTTATTTATTTTTCTAACGAAATAACGAAAAATTCTCATCTAAAATAGCATTATAAGCGTTTTTATAGTAAATCAAACTACCTTTTCTCTTTCTAATTATCAAACAATTACTTTCTCCTTAGCATATCGATTATAGCATCAGAAAATATCTTTCTGACGTTATGCAGATAGCAATTATGATAATTAAAAAAAATTTAAATCGAGGTCACTTTCTAAAAATTAATTTTCCTAAAACACTTAAATTAATTCAAAGAATGTAAAAAAAAAAATACAAGCCATATTCGAAGTCGGAATCGAATGTTTATCAAATATAACATGTAACTGTATATTGCAACATTCATTGTAACTAGTGATTCGAAAGGCGTTGTACTCGTTTTGTCTAAGCTTTAAACATTGTAATAACTTGCATAAATTATTATTTTGAACGTAATGAGCTCTTTATATATTTATAAACGATCCATTAACTTTAATATTAAAACGAGCTTTAGATTATAAAAGCTGATTAGAATTTTACAAAAAGTTATCTTTTCGAGAATTAATTATAGTAATTAATTCTGCTGAGTTATTTTATAAAAATTTTTAACATAAAATACAATATAAAAACACCATTAATACATTAAAAATATAATTAATTAGTACGGGATAATCAGTAGTTGCTGTATAGAATTCATCTCAAAAGTATTATTTATTTTTATAAACTGAAAACATTAAGCAATATTTTCTTCTCTAAATGAAAATTTATAATAAAAATTCATCAATTTTCACCATTTAATGCGATTTTATTAACGAAAATCTGCAAAACACACTACTTTTAATCATTTAGCATGAGAATTTTTCAATATTATATACAATTTTATTAATGAAAATCAATTTAAAAACATGTCTTTAATCACTAAACAATGAAATTTTCAGCTTTATATAGATTTTATTAAAGAAAATCTATAAAATAAACTACCTTTAATTATATAACATAACGAAACTTTGTCATTTTATTTCCCAATAACATTATTTATCGGGGCAAAAAATGAAATTTTTAAGAGTCATTTTAACATTATTATGTTTAATAGCAAACACCTTTTTTTTTTTTTAAATGAATGTTTCGCAAGTTATTCTAAATGTGTTCCTCTTTAATATTTAATTTAAAACTGAAATTTTTGAGGAAATATTAGCCTGCGAGGCAAGTTTGTCCTTAATAGCTTAATATAGAATTTTTTTTCGGTCTCTACTATTATCAATATTATCAGAAAATACTAAATCTATGCTTTAACTGGTATTTTAGGATGTCCGGTTATTGGCGTGACCAGCTTATTGCACGTTTGCTCTATTTAAAATGGCAAAAAAAGTTTATATAAAAAAGCAGAGAGAGAGAAATTGGCATTTTTCTTCACTTGACGTCATCGATTTAAGATTTCTATAAAACTAATTTCTCCTCCCTCCCTAACGCTTTAACTAAAGCTAATTTAGATGATAATCACGAATATTTCTTTAAAATAATTATTAAAAAATTCATTTATCATTATCTCTATTCGGATTTTAATTATTTAAAACAAGATAACATCGGATAGTAATTATTAAAGATGTATGTTACAGGGGAATAAATTTTTTTTTGTTTCCTCAACCGGCCAAAAGAGGGCGACACGGTCAAGTGTTGTATCCAAGAAGACAGAATTGTTACCTTTAATAGTTTCATTATTACGAGATATTTCCATGGCGTGTAAGTGAAAATAAATGAAAACAAAATAAGCCAATTCTCTAGAGACTACACTTGGATAAATATCGGATAATTGTTACCCTCGGCTGACTCATATCTTTCGTTGACTGATTGAAGCTATTCTACGAGCTGGTAATTTATGTATGCTATTTCTCTTTTTACACGTGAACCTGTCGCGTGTTATTCACGCGTAAAACAAATTACAGATGAAGCTATAGGAGGATCAAGCTAAAAATGGGGGGAAAATGTCTCCTTCTGTAAATATGTTCGTAGTAAATTATAGATCGGCTGTAAATGGTTTCGTTCTCATTAACAAATCAATAGATTCCGCTTTCCCCGTTGAAAAATATATTATTATTATTATAACAGACTTATGATAATACGAGAGGATAAAGCGAAATATTGCATTATTTTATATTTAGTAAATTTTGTTTATTTATTTACAGGAGAATTTGCTACAAATATTCACGAAAAAATACAAATTTATTTGGATAAAAGAGTGGTTTTTTTTCAAGAAAAATTAAGCTAAAGAGCTAAAATTGAAGTAAATTAAAAGAATAAAATGAAATTTAAGTCGAAGAAACATGAATTTAAGTTAACAAAAGAAGAACAAGTGAACAAAAGTCAAGCATTGGTTATGAAAGGCTAATCCTAGAAAAAAGAACACAAGCTTTATGTTTCTTTGTTCATTTATGCTAGTTGTTTATTAGAATAAAAAAATAAATTATCTTCTTTTTATTCTTTCACCATTTGTTTCTTTATTATTGTTAGTTTTATTTGTGTATCTCATTCATTAGAATACATACGAATAATAAAAAAAGTACAAATACTGTAATATGTTTCGATGAAGGACAAAGACGAACCAAATGAAATATATATTCCTGTATGAGAAAAAAGAAACATTACTAGACAAAAATGAACATAAATAAAAACAAATTAACACATAATTAAGGTAAATCATATTGAGAAAGATAAACAGGCAAATTATTTCTTTTTCCTTTTCCTAACTTCGAATAAACGAATCAAATAAAAATGTTATAGGGCTACACATACATCTTTTAAAATGTTTTAAGAAAATAAATACTAAAAATATTCATGAAATTATAAATGAATTTCCATTTTGTAGTGATTTTTAAATTAAAAAATATCATTTCTAGGAATTTCCATTATTTCTCATCTTTTAATAATTTAGTTATACATTTAAAAAAAATCACTTTTGAATTATTAAAATTCCAGTTGTAGTTTAGTTAAATTGCATTAATAAATAAATTTTATAAGAACGAATACAAATTTCTTCTTTGAAATATTTTATTAGAAAGTATTTAATTTCTCATTCGATTAATAATAATTTTTTATTACTTAATATTGAATTTCTCCGTTATTATTCAGATAATTGTTTTTGGTATCGAATTACCATTTAATTTAAAGGAATTTTTGAAATTTCTATCTTATAATATGCTAAAATCATATTTTTACATTACAGATCTATCATTTACTGTAAGCCATTTATTAAATAGACATACGAATTGCCCCACTGTAAAAATATGAAATTAAACTCGGATATAAACTTTAAAGTATCCATTCAAACTAAATAAAGACGATCACATTAGAAATGATCAAAAAAATTCTCTTTATATTCTTCATTCAGTTATTTGTGGTCAAATCTGGTTGGATTATCTCAGAGAAGTCTATTTTTTTTTAAACCCATGGAAGATTAAGCAGGGTGTGTCTCAATACACACATTATATCTTCTTGCAATCTCGTATTTAAGAAAGGGATTTCCTATTCGATTTGATCCCATATCTCAAGTCTTTGTTGCTAAGCAACATCAGTAGTTGGTCTATATATATTTCAAGGTCATTATCAAAAACTGCACCGCATTTTGGCGCAGCAGGTCTAATAATAATTTTCCCATCACTGATTCGGCCCTACAGAATTGAGAAAATTATACATAAAATTCTACTTTATTCAAAAATAATGTCTTGATTTATAGGCCTTTATGATATAAAAACATTTAAATCGCTATATTAAACAATTCTTGAAGAGAAATGAATTATAATAGATTGCAAAATCAACTTAGTTTTACTTTTTTTTAAAGAATAATGTCAATCATTATGAATAATTTAGAATATTCTATCAAAAAATTGCACGATTTTAGCCGTTGGGGACTATTGTGGTCGTAGACATAGAACAACACAATCTATTCCTATCGTGTAAAGAATTATAGGTCATAAAATAACCTAAAAGTATTGTTATTATCAAGTTCTTTTAAAACTCTTTTATTGGTGAAAAGTGAAAGTGGAAATCCTAAAAAGGAGGATGCACAGGCATTGCGGTCTGCTGACTGTAACTACCATATAACACATCCTGTTTTGTAAATAGGCAGATTTTATGATAAATCCCAAAGTGTGGATTATTAAAATGTATACATTCGAAAAGATAAATAAAAAAAATTCTGTTCTATGTTTAGAAGACTCTTAAAGCAATCGCATATGTCTTTAAATTAATTTTAATTAATTCACTGTTTACTTTAATCATATCAATTAACATAAAATAATTTATATCAATCTATCTAATTAAGATTATTTTATTTTTTCCTCTGGTTAAATTATTTCAAAGATAGAGTAGGTCTATTTGTTTTCAAATTATAAAACAATCAGCGATTTGAAATTAATACTTCATTAAATTTTCTCTCTAATATTTATTTGCATGTCTTGAAAAAATATGAGTTTTTACGTCATATCAATCAGTAAGCTCACTTTATTTAAGTTAATTGTGATAACATATAAATAAAATGATACAAATAGTGAGGCCAAATCTAATTTATTAGTATTAAAATTGTTACCGAAAGTAACTATGCAATACTAAATTTCTACTCGTACAGTACTTATTTTAGTAATTTTCCATTAAAAATACTTATTAGGCTTACAATTAATAGTTCAATAATATTATTTAAATTATTATATAAATTTTGTTTAAACGTTTTTCTATGTAGGCCCCGTAACGCTATACTTTCTACATCTTTAATCATTTTTCCACACTAGTATACTCCATAGAGTCCATACACACATAAGCCTGTAGCTTTTACAGAATAACAGCTCTGATTACATATAATTAGGCTCTATATTCTACAGTTTTTATTATAATTTATGCTCTAATATAATTCCATCTCTCATTTACCTCTGTTGAAAACATAAATTTGGGATAATCTAAGTAGAATAGATCCCATTTAAAACGAGACAATTGGGCTGCTTCAGAGAATCTACTTTTTTTTTTTCATCTGATTATTTTTTTCCCCTTTACACCTTTAGTTCAATCCAGGGTGAGACGATAGGTTATCGGAACACTGGACTTTCCTACATGTGTGCTAATTCCTTTGTAGAACTTACTCCTTTGCCAATATAGCGGCTGGTGATTGGCAGTCTTAGATTATCACGACTGCGCGCGCGTCCGGCAGGTGGCAGAATATGTGGAACACACCAATGAAAGCGGATCTACTGCCTAAACTACTCACAGTGTACAGGTGAGAGAGCACGGAAGCAGACAGGTACAGCGGGTCAATCTGCGACTCTTCTGTGTGTTTACTTAACTCCACGTACAGTACATAGGACTAAATATATATATATATAAATATATATATAAGAAAAAAATAAGAAAAAATATATTAAACTGGACTAAGTGGGTTCGACGGTGTATCTATGTCGAATTCACCGTCAGGACCTCTCCAGAATCATCCTATAAATCCAGAATCGCCAAGGATTTCGGTCATGACAACAGAAATGGCGGATTTCCACGATGTGAGTATAAATATTTCTTAAATATTTATTCTTATTTTCGTGTATTAAGTTACGCTATCGGGGAATATACACGAGTATATTTTGATTAATGAGATGTTTTTTTCATCAATTCTAAACCGTAATTGACTGGTCGTTAATGATAAACAATCGAAACTCTTAAGTACAGTACATTGTTGTTAAGCGGTGATATATTTCGGAAATTTACCACCCGCAGTTTAATACACATTACTTTGATAATTTATAGACATTATGATAATTAACCTACAGAAATTTTTAATATGAATGACAGGTTATTTATTTTTATACCGTAGAATATTAATTTTGCGGGGTTTTAATTATGAGAAAATATACGAGTCTTTAGTTATTTGGTAGGCATTTATGCGTTTTATTCGAAGTAAATTATCTTTAATTTTTTAACATAATAAATTAGCATTTGATTTTGAAATTATGAAGAAAATTAATTATTTTTTTATTAAGAATTTTCTGAATAAAATATAAAATTTAGTGAGAAAATTAAGAAAATAATAATGCAAATTTTATTTTTTTAAGAATTGAATTTTACTTTAGATTTTTATGGAAATTTAAATATAAATATATGAATATAAAATATTTTAGTAAATTAAGCCCTATGCAATTATTAGAAATGACTCGAATTTCTACATTATATTAATTGAATTTTCTATAAAATTTTAAAAATTAAAATTTTGTGTATAACAACAATTAAGTAAATGAGTTTATATTATCAAAAATACCAAATTATTATAAGAAAATTAAACTTAAACTACATTAAATTTTGAAAATTTTCCTAAAATTTAAATTTTTTAACGATATTATTTAGAAAATTTCATACAAATTTTCTCAAAAATTTGTGTTTTATAATACTTAGCCTTTGTTTAAAAAAAACATTAAAAATATATAACAAATAAGGCTTATATTAATATAAATGATTAAAATTTAAATTTAAAAATTCGGTAGCGAAAAAAAAAGGCATTGGGTGGTAGGAAAATTGAATATTGGAAATGAAGTGTTTGCTTTGCTTCCGATTGTCCAATAAGAGTAGAGCTCCACAGCCGCATTGCGTGATAGCCTGGTGTGTACAGAATAGATTACGTAAATTTTTAATCGTTGGATGAGTACAAACAGGACCTATTTGTTATATTTTATTGTTTAATAATCTCAACCCTTAAAAAAATAAATTTCCTTTCAACCTTTTGTAACTTATGAGCTGCGAAGTATGCGCCGCAACTGCATGTTTTTAAGTCATTGAATATTCAAATTAGCTGCTGTTTGTTATTCGAGTGGAAAATTTCGAACGATATTATTACTCCGGATGGTTATAACGTGTTTAGAGATGATTTAAATGAGAGTAGAATAGGTTTATATATAGTTTCGGGTTGCTTTAAATAGGAAACTGATGATGAATCGACTGCGATATGTGCTGCTTTTTCGTGCATGCTTATTAGAAATCGCTTATTTTAAAAATAATGAATGTACTGTACTGTACATCTGTCCGTTTGTCTAACTGGTGTTATTTTTCATTTCTTTATAAAAATAGAGATGCTGAATTTAGTTTTTTAAGTTAATAAAAAATATTTTAAATGTGTAACATTCAGTAGCAACCATAATTTTTAATACTTCTTAGTACAGCAAATGTAATTAATTGTTTTATATTTACTATTCCTTCCTTTCAATGTAATTTTTGGATCCCAAAGCATCAATTATTTTTAAGTTAAATAAACATATTTTAGCAGAAGCACACAAAAAATTCATCTCTATTCTACACTGATTTATTAGTCATACTTTTAGTATAGTGGTTCTTATTAATGTTTTCTGCTCTTCACATCCCTTGAATTTTTAGAATGTGCTCTCAAACTCAGGAATAATTCGCAGGATTAAGTCTGTCCTATTTTCATATATTATTATTTATTTTATTTAACTTTTCAATCAAATAGGTGGAAAAAGGTTGAGAATTCAATTAAATTATCTCCTGAAAAAAGTGTCACATATTTGGGAGAACACCTCAGGTTAACTTATAATCTCAACATTGTGTATAAGATATGGATTTTTTTCTAAGATTTCATATTTACTATATTTATTTTTACATTAATAAAATAGGAAATAACATTTTTTGACATAAATTATAGAATGTGATTTATAAAAAAATTAAATATTTAANGGTATTATGTAATTGAAATTTTAGGATTTAGAAATTATTTTTAAAGAGCTGATAAATCTACTTGATGTTCAGCAGTAACTCTAACTTAGATTAAGTTGTTTGTGGTTCTTTTCATATCCATAGTCCATGGTTGAACAACTCTATCGGTCATGCATCATATTCATCAACAAAGAACTCCACGCGCGAATCGTTGTACCCCTGTCAGAGTCACGTGACCGGCACGAGTACCTATTATTCGTTCAACCACATCATGATGCCTGTGGGAAATATGGAGAGTTTTGCGTGATATTTCTGATAAACCAACCCCCTTATAAATGAGAAAATAAATACCGGATAGCACCTGATTACAAGTAGAGCTCTTTACGCGTTAATATTGATCAATCAGTATACATGTGCCAACTTAATCACACATTTTGATATTTACAATTTAGCCTATTGTATAGATAGCGTCTATTAAAATTTATAAAGTTGTTTATATTATCATTACGTATCATCTGATCTAGATTTTATTCAATACAAACAGAAACACGATTGATACAATATTAACAAATCGCATAACGACGTTCCATAAATAACATTATAATCGTGGAATGAAGGAAAAGGAAGCGCTTAATGAAAATTCCGACCTTCTAAATAAAAATATATATAAAGGAGCCATCGCGATGTCAGAAGGGAAGAGGAAATCATTTCCCCTTCTTTACATTTTGGATAACGAAAATAGAATAATAAAAAAATAACGCATCACTGATTTCATTCTTGGTCTAATTATCGATGCGTTTGTGCTATTCAACGTTTTATAACTAACTAGATCCATAGATTATTCATTTGTTACTAGTCCTTTCGTTAAATTTCGGGTATAATTTCCAATTCTACAAAAAAAAATCTTCGTAAACATTATTTTTTATTTAAATATATTTCATTTATCTAGTTTAACAATGGCTATTTTTTTTACTACGATAGATTCTTTGCGAATTGTCTACAAAAAATAGAAATAAAATGCAAAATAAGAATTCGTCCTTAAGGATTTACCTCCGAAAATTTATTTTTGCATGTTTCTTTCCACTAGAGTTCAATTGTTTCGAAGAAATAGACAATGTAATCTATTGGAGAATATTGAATCTACCCATACTTATTCTAATAGAAACTCATACACTGGATAAAGCCATATACAGAATAAAGGATCCTTTTGAATTTTGTGAGATTTATATTTACTGAAATACTGTCGTAAAGAATTTATCATGAAGCATGATATAGGCACTTAAAGACAGAAGTCATCTCTCCGGATTGTTTATATACTGATAGATATAAAGGGATAATTGGAGAAAAAATAGACTTTTCTCTTCCGATTTCCTGTATTTAGAAAGAAATGATTTTTAATAAGTAGTCATTATTTAATAATTGATAATAGGATGTAGGCCTAAAGTTATTACATTGATATTAGAGTTTACTGAACTGTTTTAATTTGTATTTTCTGCATCAATGCCACGGATATAAAAGGATAGAATGTGTTCTACGAAACGGACTTACACAGGCCTTCTATATAGTTTATTTCATATAGACTTATAAGACTTAACAAATATATAAAACAAAAATCAGCATAGAATTATTGTTAAAAATAAATTGAGTTAGTTAATTTATAAATCTCTCTTCCAAATCACCGCAAAGAACAACGAGTGATAGGTTGATCCATTATAAGACATTACAAACGATTAAGTTTATAAAAAGAAAGAAAAAACTTTCTAGCAATATGAGAATTAAACAAAACAATTTAGAAAAGCAAACGGCTCGATTTCAAGTTCTATTTTTGTTAAGAAATATCAACTGCAAACTATCAATTGCAAAAGTAGTTTACCGAACAATATACTTTGTAACCTGTTATTACCTTAATTATAAAGAACCATATCCATCAAAATTACGGAACAATCAGAATATTCGTTGTGACGCGAAATCAACGATAGCCTAAAGCTTTAAACGCAGTTTGCAATTCTATACGAAACTATCAAAATGTTATAAAGGTCTAATTAATTTTATAAATTATAGAAAAACCTTGCTAGTGACATTTCATAAATTAAACTTTCGTAGATTATTGCGTGACGATTTAAAGATAAAGTAATAATTTTATGTCCTTTATTTTTAAAATAACATGAAATTATCGTTTTGCTTTTTTTTTTAATTCTCAATCTTTTTGTTTTCGTGTATAAAATTCTATCACAATACATTACTAAGGACGTAATTAATTATACATATTTTACATTTATAAGAATTCTTTTATTGGCTCCTGGATACGAATTGGATAAAGAAAATATATCAAAACCGCAGGATATAAATATTTTGTATACATGCCTACACAAAAGAAAGATTTCATTTTCAACCCCCTTTAAAGATTCTAGTACAAGTTAGAATCTCACAAGAATAGCAAGTTTCTCAATGTCAAATGCGTAGACCATTTAATTGCTTTCTACGTCCTTACTTATTAAAGCCAAGAAAAAAAAAAAAAAAAGAGTGAATTCTTTGGAAGCGTGCTTGTTGACCTGACTTCGGTCAGTTATTCCAAACACGTCCAGCGAATGTATAGCGATCTGTATCGCTATACATGAGATATTTTATTTTGTGTAGTTGGATCTGACTAGACCGGTCTTCCTATACATTATAAGTTATATATAAACTCACACGTTGATAATACAAGGACGTTTTACGAGGGTGTATGTAGAAAATTGCTCTTGGGACCACTTTTAGATGGATGAAAATCGTTAATAGAAGTCCTCATGGCCGGCTACTTACAAAAGCGGAAATGCTTCTAAATTACAAAATGATGGAAAGTTTCTTTCTTTTTTTAAAGCCCTTTCCTTAGCTAAACTTTTTCCTTGTACGTAAATTGTAGTAGTTTTAACAAAAGGGGACGGAGATAATCTCTAATTTCAAACTAAACTAGAGTTATTATGTAAAATGACAACATGTAGTCTAGTCTGAATAAGGAAGTGATCCAATGACCGCTTTCGTGGGACTAACTAGGTTCTAATAGCGAGATTTTTAACACATTTACGTATTAAATGTTTAGATTCCGATATTTGACGATAATCTAAGCCGAGTAAAAGTACATAATAATTGTCAAATTGCCAGAAATAATACCGATACCACAATAGATCTATAAATAGATAAGGCCTAATTTTGAAAGTAGAAATTTAAAAAAATAGAATTTGGTTCTATGTTAATTTATATTCTATAAATGGCCTTTCAATTCGATAATCCTTCGGTTTTTTTTATTATTATTTTTTCTCCTTTTTTTGCGTTGGCAAGAAACGTGCATTGTTCGAGTATTACATACAAAAGAACCATATGGTGCTACACTAGCACTGATTAATAAGTAAACACATTGGGTGTGTCTTCCTCCTGGGATTAAGGATAAATACTAAAGGGTTTATTGCATTGTTTGGTGATCGAGTCAACAAAACAGCTCGCCGTTACATCCTATATTTTTGTCTTCTCTTTCTTTTTTTTTTTTTATTTTAGTATGTGCAGATTTGTCTTTGTGCTTCAACAGAATTGCAAATAATCTCGTGATATATAGTTTTTATGTCATTTTTGTAACTTTCGACATTAAATCGGGTGATAAATTTAATGGCCATACTCAGAATTATCAATCTGGTATGAGTAGTAAGGAACTATATCCGTTTTTTTATAAGCTATATATCCGGATTTACTATTAGAAAGACATCGTTAGATTTCAGATAAAAGATTATAAATCCTTTTATAGATTTTAATTTTTAAACAGATATGTCTCATTTTCTTATTATTCATAAGCTATCTTTTATTCCTTTACTTCAACATTGCTCTTGGAATTCGAGCAATATCTAAGATTAATGGATTAAAATTTCATATAAATAATTATTCATTTTTATAATTTTAAATAGATTAAATGGCAAATAATTTATGTTTAAATATATTATTAACATTGTTAACGTTCTTTCTAAAATAGGTCATTGATGAAGTTTTTAAAATGCATTAATTAGCCTAATTGCAAATTAAAATGCCTTTAGGCAATAAGATAATTAAATTAGGTAGGAGTTTAAAGAAAAATTTAATCAGAATAATGGATAAAGAATTCTATTGGCAAATATTTGTAAAAAATAGATTTATTTTTTATTTATAAAAATCTATAAAAATTTACTCCTTTTTAAAAGGCCTAATTAATATCCTTAAGTTTAAACCAACATGCTGTGTTTAATTAAACATATATTTTAAAATTAATTGAATTAAACATGAATTAAAAAGTTCTATTTTCGTAAGAAAGTGAATACAATTTTGATTATTAAGTCATTAAAATCAGGAATAAATCAGAATTTAATCAATAATATAAATGAATACTTATTAATTAATATAAAATTTTAATTATTTCAAATGTTTTTATCAAGGTTTTAAAATACCAAAACTATTTTTCGCAGATGTGGCAAGATATTGAAAGTGTGTTGTTAGGAGATATTCACCCTCACGAACATGCAATTAAAGGAAACACCCCAACTGATAATTCATCTCCTATGACTCGACGTATTCTACAACCAAATCAAACAACTCACGGGACCCAGGAGCAAACGGCAAGGTACGAGGATCTAGCCTTAGAATTGGATTTCATGCTAACATCAAACACACCTACTCCTACAGGTAATGTCTATGTTCACGATATTGGTAACTATGGAAATGGTATAATGCCTCAACCGCCAAAATCTGAAGTAAACCATTGTGGTTTAACCATAACACCCGCCACATCCCTGAAGAACGAGAACCAACCCGAAAGGTATCAGAGTTGTATGGTCCCTCAATTCGCCACATCCGGATGTTGGTCCAACTATCAACCTCAGACCATAGCTTCGAGTCAAATGTCACCTCCGGCATCGCCGGATCGTACGGTACAACAGTTGTGCCACAAAACGGGAACCACGATCGCAGACTCGTACGGTGCTAATCATCTAGTATCGGCACCACCTCAATATCAGCAAGTGGGTCAACAGAACCACTTAAGAATGGTAACCCCGCCATCATCTCCTCACTTGGCCGATCTACTTTCTGGTGCGGCTAACGTGAGACCACCTTACAATCCTCCTACGAACTATCAGGGATTACCCGATCCTACTAGTATTGTTCCTCAAACATCACCTAAACCCAAACGAGGAAGAAGAAATTTCGGTCGCAAGAAAATAACAACACACGTCTGTTCTCATCCAGGATGCACCAAAACCTACACCAAGAGCTCTCATCTGAAGGCGCACCTGAGGACCCACACGGGTGAAAAGCCTTATCAGTGTACGTGGAAAGGATGTGGATGGAAATTTGCTCGATCTGATGAACTAACTCGACATTTTCGCAAGCATACGGGCGATAGGCCCTTTCAATGCAGGCTGTGCGAGAGGGCCTTCTCACGTTCTGATCATCTCTCTCTACATATGAAAAGACATACTGCAGTTTAAAATTGTTCTCTCCTGGATAAATATAGATTTAAGAAACCATTCCAAGTGATGGTTGTACTGTATATACTTCTAAATTTTCGGGTTCTTCAAAAAAAAATATGGAGGATAAATGCGATCGGGTGTGTTTATGCCACATGTCCCTCCATCATGTATATAGTCTATATAAATATAATTATATATATATATATCCAGCGAATGTATAGCGATCTGTATCGCTATACATGAGATATTTTATTTTGTGTAGTTGGATCTGACTAGACCGGTCTTCCTATACATTATAAGTTATATATAAACTCACACGTTGATAATACAAGGACGTTTTACGAGGGTGTATGTAGAAAATTGCTCTTGGGACCACTTTTAGATGGATGAAAATCGTTAATAGAAGTCCTCATGGCCGGCTACTTACAAAAGCGGAAATGCTTCTAAATTACAAAATGATGGAAAGTTTCTTTCTTTTTTTAAAGCCCTTTCCTTAGCTAAACTTTTTCCTTGTACGTAAATTGTAGTAGTTTTAACAAAAGGGGACGGAGATAATCTCTAATTTCAAACTAAACTAGAGTTATTATGTAAAATGACAACATGTAGTCTAGTCTGAATAAGGAAGNGTCCATACACACATAAGCCTGTATCTTTTACAGAATAACAGCTCTGATTACATATAATTAGGCTCTATATTCTACAGTTTTTATTATAATTTATGCTCTAATATAATTCCATCTCTCATTTACCTCTGTTGAAAACATAAATTTGGGATAATCTAAGTAGAATAGATCCCATTTAAAACGAGACAATTGGGCTGCTTCAGAGAATCTACTTTTTTTTTTTCATCTGATTATTTTTTTCCCCTTTACACCTTTAGTTCAATCCAGGGTGAGACGATAGGTTATCGGAACACTGGACTTTCCTACATGTGTGCTAATTCCTTTGTAGAACTTACTCCTTTGCCAATATAGCGGCTGGTGATTGGCAGTCTTAGATTATCACGACTGCGCGCGCGTCCGGCAGGTGGCAGAATATGTGGAACACACCAATGAAAGCGGATCTACTGCCTAAACTACTCACAGTGTACAGGTGAGAGAGCACGGAAGCAGACAGGTACAGCGGGTCAATCTGCGACTCTTCTGTGTGTTTACTTAACTCCACGTACAGTACATAGGACTAAATATATATATATATAAAATATAAAGATTATATATATATATTATATGTATATCGTGAGGTTCTCTTTCTCTTTCTCTGTGTGTGTGAACAAAGCCAATTCTTCTCTAGGCCTCTTATAAATAAGGTTGTTGTGTTGTGTGTAGCATATTTTTTGCCCAAAAATCTTGTCTGCTGATCGATGGTGTCGGTTTAGAATTAGCTACTTTATCTATTTAATAATAGTTTGGAATCTATATAATTAAGAAAAAAAAAAGCCAAATATTTTTGATAATTTACGGGTTTATGTCAAAATTGTTAAATTTTGAGAGAAAAAAAAATTAAGAAAAAATATTTTAAGTTCGTAAATATTAAGATGATTTATTGAAATGTTTTTTCATAATATATACATATAAATATATATATATAATATATAGAAATTTATCTTAAATTGTTCTTTTAATTTATATATATACATATATATATACGCAAAATATAATTATCGTAAAAGCTGATATGATCACTTTCACAAGTTTTTGCAGTTTTTAAAACAGTACAAAGATGTTCATCATCTAAATAATTGTAGTTTTATGCTAGTCTTGATTAAATATTTTATATTAATGAACTACATAAATTTAAATATTCTTCTATTTAATTTTCCTCTTTTTTTCATTTTAATTATTAAGTATAATTATGTTAAAACCAGGCTATCGAAATTTACCACAGAAATTGAAACCAAACAATCCCACGATATGGTTAAAAAAACACTTCGAATTATCCAATTTTTCATTCTGTAATTTGTATTTTGACAGGATGTTTCCTTCTCCTACTTAATAAATGCAATTATTTAGGATCAGAGACTATTATAATTTAATGAACATTAGTTTAATATTGAACTTTTACTTTTAAGTTTTACTTAATTAAAGAGCTAATTGTAATTAATGTTAAAGTTTTAAACAGTTAATTTACATACTTAAATGTATTTATTCTGATATGATTCATCTCCAATTATTAAAAAATAAAGTTATACAAAGCTATACGAGCATTACAAGGTGATATAGAAAGATATGCAAAAAACTTATCTCTGCCGAAATCTTACCTAGCAACAAGGAAAGTTTCATTAATCCACTTACACCGTTTTAAGTACATAAAAATCAGCATAGATCAATACGAAGAATATTAAAATCATAAAGAATTTTTTCTTCACATATTTATCTCTTATGAGTCATCAGATCTCCTCATAGATAAAAAAAAGGTGCAGATATAATTATGAAAATTTTAGAGATCCTCTAACATTAAGCTAAATTACGATACTGTAGAAGATTTAAAGCGAAACGAATGACGCGTTTTTCATTCATTATTCACAAGTATCTCCTTCATTAGCAGAATTGACGAAGAGACGACCACACTGCTATAGATAACGGGCTCGGACACCCTCTTAGATGATTGCAGATATCACGTTGTCATGGTTAAAAGGACAGGTGCATTCTCATGTGGAGGGAAGAGGCATCCGAGAAAAATTAAATTCCTCTCAATATAAGACATTTTATATAGTTTATAGATCTATCTTTATATGTATTTAAGTTAAAAATTTATTCAGAAAATAATCAGATCAATTATATTTTGACACGTCCTCGCTTTAAGGTCGTCAACATCACGAAAAGTCGTCGTTTCAAGGATTTACGAAATCAACTCTACAATAAACAGATGTACAAAATAAAAATCGTTTTCTTTCTCAACTACATTCGACCTTACGCGCCTGCGTCATCTTAAAATCGATTTTTCCTAAGCTTGGGTCAACCAATAAAACCATTTGTATCCTGTCAGAAGTTAACCAATTGTAAAAGGAGGCTTTCCTTTAATGGTTATTTTTTGCTGTTTCCAAGGGCTTTTTCATATAAAAACGTCGAGGAGTAGGAAAAAAACTGGTTTCACTACATTAATAAAGTTAACCATCTTGTATTATTATTTTTTAATAATTTAGATAGTCTGGTTTTAATATGGAGATTAAAATTTCTCGTGGCCTAAAATACACGAGGAAGAAAAAAAAAAAAAAAAAACAGTATT